AGAAACTAGTAGAAAATTTTTAAAAAAGATTAAAAGTCACTTTTCCCTTTGAGCTAACGCTGTATCTCACCTTTCACATAAGCGCAGTTAGTGAAATGGGAAGAGAAGACATATCAAGGCTTTTGTGGAGTTGAAAGAGAACATAGGTGTAAAACAAAGGTTGGGAATAACAAGGCTGTAAAAAGCAAGGGTGCATGGGAAGCAGTGCCAGGTGGTGAACTGTAGTGCATATAATGAATAAAAATGTTTTCAAATAAAATAAAATCCCAGTCACGCTAAGTAAATACATAAGCTTGCTCACGCTGACAATATTAACTCTTGCAGCAGCAAATAGGAGTTCTGGTGGCCTAGTGGTAAGAAACTCCACTGCAACTCCAAAGGCACACGGTTCGAATCCACCAGCTGCTCTGTGGCTGAAGGACGGGCAGTCTCCTCCTGAGTGATTTACTGCCTCGGAAAACCCACAGGAAGCTCAGCAGTGAGTCGGTTAGCACTCAGGAACACACAACAACTACAACGTCCCTAGCTGTTGGTGACAGTATGCTTGCTGACAGAGGCAACTTGCATATTACAGAGTAGTTGTTGTTGCGTGCCATCAAGTGGCATCTGACTCATAGTGACCCTGTGAACAACAGTTCTGAGTAGTAATTGAGACATGATTGTAAGCATCCCTGGTGCCTAGACTGAAAGTCTTGGTTTTATTCATGGTTTTGTTTGAAGTGGAATGTGGCGGGACCCTGGGATGCTGTCACCCATTGAAAGGGCCTCCCATGCCCACGTCTGCTGGTGGAGCGTTCTCTATACCTAGCAAAAAAGCATTTACAGGCATGAAATATTATTCTAACGTATAAGTGTGTGTCTTCTTTCATTTTTCCCTTCAAAAACACAACCCAGTGGATTTTCTTCAGTGCCGCAGTGCATCTCCGGTGTTCAGCGTGGTGCCCCCCCATTTTACTTGCATTCCTTTTGTCTCTTCACTGTCGACACCCATTCTTTCACAGGCATCAGACCGAACCCACTTATCCTTGTCCCCACGTCTCAGGCTGTCACCACTGTCTCCAGCACGCTCTCATCTGTTTTCATTTCTTCCTTGTAAACTATCTGGCTCCTGTCACTTCTGTGCTGCGTCTTGGCTCTCGCTTGGAAAAGACTGGTCTCTGGCAAAGGATGTCTTTACATCAGAGGTGTAAAGCTGTTAATCATGTCTCTTGAGGTGCATGTTTTCTGACAAGGAGAATTCTTTCAACTATATAGAGGGGCTGTCCCTCCACTGTCAAATAAGTTGTATGTTTACATGCCTTTGAGTGAGGGTTTGCCTGTTGTGTGGGGTTTTCCCCCAACTAATTCTAGGAAACTTTAGTGGCTTAGTGGTAAGGAGTTAGACTTCCAATACAAAGGTACCTGGTTCAAGTCCCCCAGTTGCTCCGCAGAAGAAAGAGGGGCAGTTTCCTGCTGTGTGATTTACTGCCTCTGAAAACTCACTGGAGGGTCAGCTATAGCAGTTCTGACTCAAGGGTACGTGATAGAAACAACAAATAATTCCGGGATAAGGCCCTCAACCTTAGCTGCTCCTTAGTATGCCCTGTGGAGTGTCCCCTGAGATCAGAGAATCCTTAGATGATCAGGAGGTGGCATGCAGACATCATTATTTGTTTAAAACTCACCAGGTGATTTCAGCATGTTATGAAAATGAAAGTATGTGCTGAAATCCCTAACGTGCTGCAAAGTCAAATTCTAAGCTGCAGAAGCTTGATTTTATACAACAGTGCAGCCGAGTCAGAAAAGAAATGTTTCTCTGAAACATACAGAATAAATAAATAAATGAAATGAGCCAAAAAGTGGCCCAATTTCTCCGTATGTTGACAGATGCCCCGCAGGGCAACCCAAAGGGTCAGATTAGTTGTCCTGCAAATAGATCCAAATCTAACCATCATAGGACAAAAAAAAAATACATCTTCATTGTCGTGTTGGTCCCAAATTTAACACCAGGGTCAGAAAACAGTTCTGCCTATATTTTTAGCTAAGCAAAGAGCTGTTGGCTTGAGAGACATTGAGAGCTTCAAAATAGTTTGTTACCTAAAAATACACTTCCTGAAATGAACTTGAGGTCTGAGAGCAATGATGGGTTTATTTTTTTTTCTATATTTAATGCTGCCACAAGAAAGCAAATCTTAAGTTTGTGTATGTTTATATTTTTAGAAACCCAGAAAACAGGTGCAAGGTCCAAGTGACCAAGAAGTGGCATGGGAGGGTGAAGGATTGTTGACAGAAATGTACGTTTAGAGGACATGGAGTGACTTTGTAGGGACACTGAAGCCATTCCATTGCCCACAGGCAGGAAAATGCTTCAATGTAGACAGAGGCTGAGATTTCCCCCCCCCCCTTCAAAGCTTATCCCCTGGGGGAAAGCATTCTCAACATCCTAATGATATCCAGACCTGAATCTTTTATTATCATAATTATCATTATTATTATCATTGCCAATAAAAATGGATTTCACTGAACAAAAAAATTAAAAAATGACCTTTCTTATAAATGTTGTACACTTTTGTCTTATTTTCCTAGTAGTAGCAAAACAAAAATACCACAATGAGCCTTCATTGAATGAGCTTTGAAGAATAGGATTTATGTTATCACTATTAAGGAGCGTCCCATTGCCATGGAGTCAGAATTGACTCCTAGTTGACTTTCCGGTAGTGGATCCAAACCACTCACCTTTGGATTTCCAGTGTAATGCTTCACCCATTAAACCACCAGAGTTTGAGTAAGAAGGCTACAAGTTTTCATGCATGACCTTGGCACGTCTCCATTGTCTCTCTGTTGGAAAGATACACCCTGTTTCTCACCTTCTTAGGAGTCCAGGGGATTACTTAGCATTGTTTGACTTGTAGACAGATGTTCACATGGGTCTTTCTCTGTGTCTGACTTTCTTTCTCTAAGTCCAGTTATAAAATGCTTAGAAGGGTTAAGGAGCTTGACCTAACTGAATCCAGGTGAAAGCAAATTGAATAACATCTTTCAAAAAAGGGACCCTATTTCCCCAAACAAGATCAAATTCACAAGTACGGGATTGGAATTTTACCATAACCATTTTGGGGGCCGCAAGTCAATCCATTTTTTAAAATATTTTAATTACCTCTCAAATTGTAGCAGCAGTGTGTTGTAAAGAATAGTCAATCTTTAGTATTTTATGGGATGAATACAAATGATTCAATTTGTAGTTACATTCTCTGTCTTAATTTGATATAAAAAGGTCTGTGTTCATTTTTCCGACTGGCATAAATGTTACTGAACCCAAGCGGTTCTTTCCGTAGTCAACTGCCAATAAGACAAACGGATTGCAGTATCCATAAGCACTTTATTACAGATCTGTGGAGGACAGCGGGTCAGCCTCAAAGACAGCCTCCCCGACTGGGAGAGGTCACCAGGCTTTTATACCAGGGGGAGACACCAACTTACTTAAAAATAAACTTTTATTAGTAACATCAAAGAATTTGTATATCTGAAGAGAACAGATCATATTTAAGTACCAGTAATTCAGGAAGGGCACAGTTCCCTTCCTGGTAAAAAACTGATGGCAGTTTTATAATTATCTAACTATGATTTTATAGAAGTTCTAATTATCTAACTATGGTTTTATAGAAAATTCTGAACTTATTAATACCACCCCATAAAGGGTCAAATATGAGCAGTTTTCATTTCTTTTATAGTCTGGTCATCTGTTGACTCAGTAAATCATGCAGTCATTTTGGATCCCTTCCCTGTGACAGGTTCTGTCCTGGGGATTGGACATTGAGCGTGCAAACAAGGCAGATAAAGTCTCATGGAATTGTGTGTGTGTGGAAATGTGTGCTGGAGCGCACACTGTGAAGGCCAGACTGTAAACACGAAAGTGATGGAGATAGATGAGGCAGAGGCCTGTCGTAGTTCCTGGTGGTTTAATTTAGCCCAAAGAATTGACATTTAGCCAGAAGCTGAGAAGGCAAGAAGGAACCAAGTAAAGGGAATAGAAGGTGAAGGACTTGAAGAGGAAGGGACCTGGTGCCTTACTGGAGGGCCCATGAGGCTGAGGCAGTGCTTACCAAGTAGAGTTAGAGTAGGATTAGAGTTAGAGTAGGAGGAGAGTTAGAGTAGGAGTGGTGTTAGAGTAAGTAGTAAGTTAGAGTAGGAGTAAAGTTAGGGTAAGTAGGAATAGAGTTACAGTAGGAGTAAAGTTAGAGTAGGAGTAGAGTTAGAGTAGCAAGGGAGGAGAGCAGCAGAGACATTAAAGGAGCAGATCCCTGAGGTGGCCCTTGGCTTTATTGCCTTCATGATTTCATTGCTTTGTATTATGTCCAGGAGGCACTTATCATAACAGAGCTAAGAGTTGGTTACTCAGTTGACTTCCCTCCAGGCATGGAAAAATCCAGGTGAGTCAGGTTCACACTGAGAAAATCCTCCCAGTTCCTTGGGCAGGTCAGGACAGTAATGGCAATGGCCTGGCTCTCTTCTTTCAGATGCCTTGACCCAGTTAGGGCTTCACGCCTCTGCCTGGTAGTGGCCCCTCTTTGCTCTTCTAAAACCCAGGGTTCACTTGGGCCTCCCACATCCCCTGTTACTTCCCTTTCTCTTGGGCCCATTTCCTTAACTATTCACCCACATAAATGCAAATTCCCTGAAGGATACTTTATGCCGTGATCCCAGCCTCCAGTATTGTGCAGTGGGCCAGAGCTTGCTCCTGGATTGAATGCTGACTTTTTTTTGTAGAAAAAAAGATCTTATGATAATCATTGTCAAATGGAGAAGTTACTCAGTCCCTTTCCCCCCTCCACACACACGATGCAATAGCTTTGTTACAACCGTGAGAGAATCTCTGGGCCTTATGAAGGGATTATTTTCTCTTTCTCCAAATTAATTCCATGGCATTGGATTTCTTCAAAATTGTGTAACATCTTCAGGACGTCGTTGGCAGGCTGCCTGGAAGCTGACTAACTGTTGCCCGTCCTATCTCTTCACCCTAGTGGTTAATGACAACGTCATGGTCACGGACACCAATGGGGCAATCAAGTTACGGCAGCTGTGCAAGTTCTGCGACGTGAGACTTTCCACCTGTGACAATCAGAAGTTCTGTATGAGCAACTGCACCATCACGTCCATCTGTGAGAAGCCACACGAGGTCTGCGTGGCTGTGTGGTAAGGCTGACTTTTACGACTTCCTGGTTCTTTAAAAAAAAAATAATCATCCGTTTCTAATACTGTGTGCTCGTAACACAAAGGCAGTGCATGCCCATGCCCTCAGCATAGACGATGATCCCATTTCTGTTTTCCTTGTTTTTGCTATGTGCCATCGAGTCCATTAACTTTCGATCACCATTATTTCAAGGGAACTCTGGTGGCCTAATGGTAAGGGGTTGCACTGTCAACCCAAAAGCTCGCAGTTCAAATCCACCAACTGCTTCATAAACGTAAGATGTATAATCTTCTGTGTGATGTATAGCCTCTGAAAACCCACTGGAGGGGTCAGCTATGGGTTGGTTCCAACTCAACAGAACACACCACCATCACCACCATGTATCTTTCTCTTGGATTAGGGTCTCTTTTCTCTGTTTTATCTTTATTCCTTCTCTCCCTTAGTAACACACACCCCCACACCTCCTCCCACACACACACACACACACACACACACACACACACACACAGAGAGAGGTACCAGGTCTAATAGAAGTCTTCAAACATACACAATGTGTACTCCGAAATCAGTGGACTAATCTATAGTTATGGACTTTGGCAAGTGCACAAAAGATGAAAGAAAAGGAGAAATCATTTAGCAGCCCTAATTTTAGAAAAAAGTATAAATTCATCTCTTTGGGCAGATTAATAGGACATAGCACTTTTGCTGGCTTATTCTGCCGTTTGTAATTTGTTAGATATTTGTTAAGTAACTTGTATGTCTCTGGGCTGTTTGACAAACAAGACTATAGCTCAGATGTCTCGCTGCCCTTTGGAGCGTGAGTCCTCGGAGTGTCTCTCTAAGGCACATGTATTTAGCCTTGATGATGGATCTGAGGACCTTGTGGACCTCTGTACACGTCAGGGGATGACTGGGTTTCCTAAGCACTAAAGGATAGTTAACAGCAAAGGCCTGTCAAGGCAACTTGCTGTACCTGTCGACCTCATTTATGTCCAGACCTGAGCAATTTTGGAGAACAGATTTTGATAAAAGTATATGGTCCATTTGCTGTGTAGAGGTAACTCATGGTTGCTGTGAAGCTGAACACTGTGACACTGATGTGTCAAATGTGATAATGGTTAC